TGTCAATGCGTTTTCTATTAGGCTACAATAAAAAAGTTGTATAGTACAGTGCGTTTAATTTAGGCTATTTATTTATTTTTGTCCCTGTGCGCCGATTGGAGACAGAGTTCACTGCTGATATTCTGAGAGCTCGGGAGCTTCTCATTTCTTATTTGTGCATCCTCGTTTCCTTTCCTTGCTTTCTTTCCTCGTGTTTCCACCCCACCGTATAACGTTACGAAGGCAAGACGCAAGGAAAAGACTCAAGGGCCGAGGAATCGAATCAAGTGAAAAGACACGTCCTCGTATCTTTAGCGTCACTTCAAAGCGTCGTCAATTAATGACTTGCACGTTTGGATTAACTGCATGTCTACATTAAAGTCATTCTCTATTCTATAATGATCAATAAAGAAACATTCATTTAATAATAAAAAGGAATAAGCCATTCAAATAAAGAGCTCAATCAGCAGATGGCGGGCGGGTGCGGTTTTAAAAATTGGTCAAAAATGTTACTGTGGATGGATGGCGTCGGATGATGAATTTTGTCATGCGGTTGCGGATGAAATAATAGCCCATCCGCGCATCTCTAATGACCACCAAACACACACTAGACCTCCAAACTATTCTGACTCGGTATGCCATATCTTTTCCGACTGATCCGACTTTCGATTTTCCGAAAAACATCCCGGGACTGTTGGAAAAATCCCATAGACTTAACATTGGACCAAACTTTGTGACCTCATAACTCTGCATCAGACTGTCACACAGACTTCTAACTGGGCTCAATTAACTCAGACTACCTAACTGCCAATAACTGATAAGCTTTTAACTTTCTGGCCACGCCCTAGCAACCACTTTTGGACCCTAGAAACTGTCCCATAGACTTCCATTCAAAAGACTCTCATTGACTTAACATGGGATCAAACTTTGTGAGCTCATAACTCTGCATTAGACTGTCCTACAGACTAGTGGCTGAGCTCATTTAACTCAGACTACCAAACTGCCAATAACTGATGAGCTTTTAACTTTCTAGCCACACCCTAACTACCAGATACTGCACCCTAGCAACAACTGTCCCATAGACTTTAATTGCAAAAGACTGTCATTGACTTCATAATAAATCTAACTTTGTGACCTCAAAACTATCTATCTATCCTTTTTCAAACTGCTTTTATCTATCTATCTATCTATCTATCTATCTATCTATCTATCTATCTATCTATCTATCTATCTATCTATCTATCTATAAACTGCTTTAATCTATCTATCCATCCATCCATCCATCCATCTATCTATAAACTGCTTTAATCTATCCATCCATCTATCTATAAACTGCTTTAATCTATCTATCTATCTATCTATCTATCTATCTATCTATCTATCTATCTATCTATCATCTTTTCATACTTTTTAAAACTGTTTAAATTAAACAAACTATCTCCAACAGACTTTCTCAAGCCAGCCTAAAGTTTGTCTCGACGAACTTTAATAATCTAGTATTATTATACTATTAATATTCTAAATAAATAACAGAAATTTGTCCTAAATGTAACTGGAACACAAAGACACAACTGGAGTGATGTATTAAGATCATTTAAGAAGTCTTTTGCAAGAATATTAAAGAATTTAATTTGACAATTCCATAAGATACAAAAAGATGTGTTTTATAGAATTATCTGTGGGCTGCACGGTAGCGCAGTAGGTAGCACTGTCGCCTTACAGCAAGAAGGTCGCTGGTTCGAGCTACGGCTGGGTCAGTTGATGTTTCTGTGTGGAGTTTGCATGTTCTCATTGTATTGGCGTGGGTTTTCTCCAGGAGCTCCGGTTTCCCCCACAGTCCAAAAACTATAGGTGAATTGATGAATTAAATTGACCATAGCACATGAAGGGAAGGGCATCCGCTGTGTAAAACATGCTGGATAAGTTGGCGGTTCATTCCGCTGTGGCGACCCCTGATTAATAAAGGGACTAAATCGAAAAGAAAATGAATGAATGAATGAGAATTAACTGTTGTCTTTTTAGACCTGAATTGTGAACTGTTTTAAGCCTAACCTTACCTGCCTGACTCTTCATCCTTCTTTTCTGCTTCATAGCATGTTTAGTTAAAATAAGATCATCATCATATTGTTTTAATTTTTGTTTTTTTGTATTTTGAATGTACACTTGCTTTATAAAAATGAAAGAATGTCCAAGACAAAGCTAATAAGTGTCTTATGAGTATATGTACACTAGCAGTGGAATTTACTGGAATTCACCTGAAATCTTGCCTAGGGCTCCAAATTGGTTAGGGCCGGGCCTAATTATGATCATGCTGGATAATCGTGCGTGCTCGTCTGTTTTAACACACTGCAGCAAAGCAATAATTTTTAACGGAAGAAGATGTCTGACTCACTGAAAAGAATTGATGAAGAGAATAGACAGTTCAAAGTTGAATGAACAGATAAGTATGTGTTTATTTTGCCCTAAGCCAGCTCGAATCAGTAACCTTCTTGCTGTGAGGCCATTGTGCTACCCACTGCACCACCGTGCTGCATCTTATGGATGTTTATTAAAAACAAGTTATGTAATATCAATTGTTTCATACCTTTGCTTTGACCTTAATAAAAAAATTCAGATTTGGACCTTTTAATTGAGAACCCTTGTTTCAGGCTATCATCAACAGATAGACCCAGATCATGAGCCTATAGAAATCTGCACTGGACTTTTTTTTCAGTCTGATTCCCACTGGTTTTATTTTGCAAACAAACGCCCCCGCTATTTATTCACTCTTTGTTTATTTAAAACAAAATTCTTCTAACTGTTAATTCCCTGTTAAGACAGCGGTGAAGCCGAATGGTCTCTCTTTGCTGAACCTTTATGTTCTGTGCAGATCTGGGTAAGTCGGCATGAATATGGTTTCATTTTCCACACTGGGGCTGATAACAGTTCTCTGGAATTATTGTAAAAAAAATGCATTGTTGCCTTGGTAATGTAAGCGTAATTTCAACAAAAAATGTGAGAAAGTGGCATGAGAAAAATGTCAAATGTGCGAGTCTTGTAAAATAATAAAAATTCTACATATATCCTCCAATTTTCATTTTAATTTGAAGCAAGCTAACAAAAAAATACAAGACATTTTGTAAAAATGTACCAAAAGTTTAAAATATTCATTTAACAGTTTAATTGTTAATAGAAAAATATATTTGATATTGATATTTGATTTATTGTTATTATTATTTTACATTTTTTTTACATAGGTGGCACCATGGCTCAATGCTTAGCACTGTTGCCGCACAGCAAGAAGGTCACTGGTTCGAGTCTCGACAGGGCCAGGAGTGTTTCTGTGTGGAGTTTGCATGTTCTCCGTGTGTTGGTGTGGGTTTCCTCCAGGTGCTCCGGTTACCCTCACAGTCCAAACACATGCGCTATAGGGGAATTTAATTTACTTAAACGGCCGTGGTGTGTGAGTGTGAATGAGAGTGAATGGGTGAATGGTGGAAGGGCATCCGCTGCGTAAAACATATGCTGGACTAGTTGGCAGTTCGTTCTGCTGTGGCGACACCTGATAAATAAGGGACTAAGCCAAAAGAAAAATTAATAAATGAGTTTTAAGACTTTCTGGACTCGGCCGGACTCGGATGTTAAGGACTCGGACTTAAGTCCGACTCGACCCCTTTTGAACTCGGACTTGGACTTGGACTTGTACTCGACTGGTTAAGGACTTGGTCTCGACTTGGACTCGACAAAGGTGGACTCGACCCCAACTCTATAAGGCGCTGACGAACTTCTTCCAGACTCTAACCATCACTATAAAATAAATATTCAACACAAATGTTAGTTATCAGTAAGAAAAGAGTCAGATACATTTGTATGTAATATTCGAGTGCTTTTAAGGACTAAATTTACCTGAAATTGGCAAAAGCAGCCGCATAAGCAGCTTTGTTGACAGCCAGATTGAGTGAGCGCCATTGCTTAGGGATTAGGGAGTCGACTCCAAAAGAGTTGATTTCTCAATTCCTCAATGGACATTGTGCTGTAATTGACTCGAAGAAAGGAATCGACTCCCAGAGATGAGTCTGTTTTTTTCAAACCCTCCAGAATGAAGCAGTTTTACGCTACACTACAGTTATAATACTCATTCTTGAGCACGATGAACATCGAAGACACGTTTTACGCGTTTGCTTTTGAATCTTAAGACCACGAGCACTAGCTATTAGAATTAGTGCTGCGGGAGTGCTCTTTGTAACGTTATTATGTGACCACAGAATGACCACAACAGAAAGTCCTCCTAAAGTCATACTGGGAACATTATTTTATGACTAAAAGAGAACGTATTAAGAACACCCCTAATGTTCTGTAAAGGTTCTGGACTTTTATTACATTTAGGGAACTTTCAGGGAACGTCGCCTCCTACCAGGGTTATCAATCGTTAGTGTGCATATTATTTTTTTTCTCACCCTGTATTTGTTTCCAGGACTGCTAGTAAGCGAGTGTTTGGTTGTTGTTTTTCCCACGGCATTTCCTCAGCGCTCACCCAACCGCTTGTTTACTTTGATATTTGCTTTTTCTGGGACTCACTCTTCAATAAAGACTTGTTTTTCTGCATTTCTTGAGTTCACTCTTTTTTTTTTTCTCGTAACAAGTATTTTTTCTCGTAACAAATTTATGTCTCATCAATTTGACCAAAAATGATCTGGGATTAATCATATAAGAATACGCTTAAATATGTATGTGTGTAATGGACCCCAGGAGGTTGATATGACAAGATCAATCTAAATATGATCTGCTATGTTTTTACATTAAATGTGCATCAAAATTAAGGTTTGTGTAGCCAATGTTTTAGTGCCTTTTCACTTCAGCTTTTGATGAGTTTTAATGATTTACTAAAAACTTAACTTTTTTTTATTTCAGACCTAATTGAAGACTATGAGGAGAGTAAAGAAGAGGAACATCATGTCAAAATTGAGGACAAAACTCATTTAGAGACTGATGGTATTTTAAAAGTGAGAGACAAGAGTTGTTTCACCTGCACTCAGTGTGGGAAGAGTTTGGCTAGCAAAAGCAAACTAAAGACTCACATGAGGATCCACACTGGAGAGAAACCATTCACATGCACTCAGTGTGGGAAGAGTTTTAACAAATCATCAAATCTTAATCTACACATGAGGATCCACACTGGAGAGAAACCATACACATGCACTCAGTGTGGGAAGAGTTTTAGCCACTCATCACACCTTAATCAACACATGATGATCCACACTGGAGAGAAACCCTTCGCATGCACTCAGTGTGGGAAGAGTTTCAGCCTATCGTCATCGCTTTATAGACACATGAAGGTCCACATTGGAAAGAAACCATTCACATGCACTCAGTGTGGGAAGAGTTTCAGCCTATTATCATCACTTTATAGACACATGAAGATCCACACCGGGGAAAAACCTTTCACATGCACTCAGTGTGGGAAGAGTTTCAGACAATCATCATACCTTAATAAACATATTAGGATCCACACTGGAAAGAGATCATTCACATGCAATCAGTGTGGGAAGAGTTTCAACAAATCATCAAATCTTAATCTACACATGAGGATCCACACTGGAGAGAAACCATTCACATGCACTCAGTGTGGAAAGAGTTTTAGCCACTCATCACACCTTAATCAACACATGATGATCCACACTGGAGAGAAACCATTCACATGCACTCAGTGTGGGAAGAGTTTCAGCCAATCATCATCCCTTAATAAACACATGAGGATCCACACTGGAGAAAAACCATTCACATGCACTCAGTGTGGGAAGAGTTTCAGCCTATCATCATCGCTTTATAGACACATGAAGATCCACACTGGAAAGAAACCATTCACATGCACTCAGTGTGGGAAGAGTTTCAGCCAATTATCATCGCTTTATAGACACATGAATATCCACACTGGAGAAAAACCATTTACATGCACTAAGTGTGGGAAGAGTTTCAACCAATCATCATACCTTAATAAACACGTTAGGATCCACACGGGAAAGAGATCATTCACATGCACTCAGTGTGGGAAGAGTTTCACCCACTCATCACACCTTAAAAAACACATGAAGATTCACACTTGTGTGAGAGAGTATATGTGCCTGGAGTGTAAGAAGACTTTTATTACAGCTGCAGAATTGAAACGGCACCAGAGGATTCACACTAGAGAGAAACCGTACAAGTGTTCACTCTGCAGTAAGAGGTTTACTCACTCAGGAACCCTGAAAACACATGAGAGGGTTCACACTGGAGAGAAACCGTAGACATGATCAGTGTGTACAGAGTTTCACTCATTCGGGGCAGCTTAAGAAACACATGAGATTGTTTCCAGTATGGCGTCGACACATGTAGTAGCATAGAAAAAGCACTCCCATACACACTGGTAGTAATCCTCCTTTTTACATCATTTGTAATAACCTAAACCATATTTAAATAACATGGAGGAAGACAAAAACAAAAAGGCTAGGTCAAAACAACCATTGAATAAAAAAAAGAGAAATCAGATGAAAAATTTGAGATGGACAGGATGGCATTGCAGTAAAACATATGGACATCAAAGTTTTCCAGATGGATTTTAAATCTGATTTAACTGCCTTCCAAGATTCTCTTGCAAAAGATGTGAAAATGGAAATAAGTTACTTTAAACAATAAGTCAATCAAAAACTGGATGGCCTTATTACGGACCTAAACGCAACAGCAGAAAAGGTCAACGAAGTGGAGCAGCGAGTTGGAGAATTGGAGGAGAACATTGCTGAGATGAAAGAAATTCTTGATCAAACCATCCAAATTCAAGAAAACGTACAAGAATAACTTGGATCTAGAAACACGCTCCCGTAGAAATAATATTCAGATTTTTGGAATCCCAGATGGGATTAGAGAATAATATTCAAGACTTTGTGGAAACAATTATCAAAACGAACTGTCACTTGACGAAATGGACCTTAAAATCCAACGATGTCAACGGAGGCATCAAGAGATCTGAAAGAAAAAGGACTAATAAACAGCAAAGAAGAAACTATTATAAGAATCTCTGGGAAAGAGAAACAAAGATCTTGGCAAAGTTTTGAGTGACATCGAAGAAAAGAATTTGAAATTTGAAATTAAATTTTAAAGAGACAACACTAGCTCCGTTTGAAAGAAGGGTAAACCCTGACAGATCCTCACAAAGAACTCTGAGAGACTAGTAAAACTTCTTGAGTTGATTCACCAATAATGGACATTTTAAATCGTTTTAAGGAAGAATGGTATTTAACTGAACTGACCAGCAACACAAGTTGAACGATTAAAGCACACCAAGACTCGAGTCATTGAGTAACATACTGCTAGGAAGACATAAAGGGATTCTTTTTTATACATTGTTGGAATTTTTGGCCAATTCCATGCGTGTTCAAGAGAAAAGGTCAGGAGAGGTTTTTCTTCAATGTTAAAAATATTAGTAGTTTATTGGATACAATTGAATCATTCGATGACAGAGCTCTGGGTTACATTACCTCAATGCAATACAAGAATTACATTCAAGAGGTTCGCAACTAACATACATTTCCTGACTCCAGCATATATACACAACCGATCTTAACAGGTGGAGTTTTGGTGTAACGTCATTTGTCAGTCATTGTTCAGTCCTCCATTGGCCACACCTTCCACATACTTCCTCTTTTTCTACGAATTCTCTGCACAACAACAAAGTATACATCTTTCTGTGTTCAGTTTTAACACCTCTCTTCAGACAGGAAGTTTCTGCAGAGCTGAATTTAATTTTGGACCCGCATCTATCTTCTTCTGCAAAAATGCTAATTAGTATGCACAGCATCTCACACAACATTAGAAGTTTAGTTAATATATGACCCCTACATGACCAATACAAATTATTGTTTGTTTAAAAGAAAAAGAGACAAAAATACTAAAAAAAGATTCCTATTTTACATCAATCCCCCTTTTCTGCTCCTCTCTGGAGCAAACAAAAACAGATAATCTAATCCCCACAAATGTTTTAACTGTCATTACTGCAGGCCTTTGCCTAAATCTTTGTTTACCACTTATTCAAAATAATCGTTAACATCATAGTGCTCATTCATTATGTTAGATGATGCCCAAAACCCCTTTTAACTCATTTTCTTTTAACTTTTTTTGATTCAGTTTATAATTTCCATACTCTTGGTTCTCCTCTTCGGTGGTGCAGTCTCTTCCCTCTTGAAGTCACTCCGATATCTTCTTTTAATAAGATTTATACTTGCTATATTTAGGCTTATTACTCCCAACACTCTTATTAACTTCTAATTATCCCATAATTAAAATTTTCCATTCTTATACACTTTATCAATAAAGGTTTTTTTTCTTCCCCACCAAAATTACTAGAATTAAAATATGAATGAAAATAATAAAAAGGGTAACAAATGATAGAAATTTAAACTCCAACATATAAAAAATAAAATCTGATCAAAAGGAAATGCACTACCATAAAGATATGCTACCATTGAAAATCCCACAGTATGAATAAAATCTAAGATCAACACTTGTGAAAATATGATTGGAATTAGAAATTCTAAATTCTAACAACATAATTCAAATCAGGAATTCACTAATACAAATTATAATCCCCCTGAATAGTTCAGACTGAATTTCAACATTTTAAAGTCATTATTGAACAAAAATTTCAGTTAAGGATTTAGAATCTTATTTACAATTAAGATTTAGGATGAATAATCAATAGCTTCAAAGTAGGATTAAACTCAACAATTATTAAAATGAAAGATTCAGAACTCAATTGTAACAATGTTATTAAACTAACAACTCAAACTCGTCACCAAATTATTAAAATCAAAATTCAAACATATTCAAACTAATTTTTTTCTTTTTTTTTCTGAATGTCTTAAAATGGGAAAATCAAAAACACAACAACGTGATTAAAATAAAAATAAAAAATCTTAAGAATCTCTTCAAATAAAAGGTTCAAAAACAACAATGGCTTAAAATAAAATGATCTTCAAAAATATTAAAATAAAATAATCTTCAAAAATGTGATCAAATAAAAGAATCTTAAAAATGTCTTAAAATAAAAGATTCAAAATAAAAGATTAAAAAAAAACATTGAATGTCTTAAAATAAAACATTATGAAAAAACATACAAATGTCTTGAAATAAAAGATTTAAAAAGCATTAGAAAGGCATTAAAATAAAATATAAAAAGCATAAAAATTTCTTAAAAATAAAAGATAATAAAAAATCATAAAAAATGTCCTTTACATAGAAGATAAAAAAATAACATGTCTAAAATAAAATAATAAAAAAAATAAAAAAAACTAACGTGTGTAAAATAAAATTATTTTAAAATGTGATTGTGTTTTATTTTTTTTTTTTTTCTAAAATTTTTCCATTCTAATTTGTCCAATTCATTCATTTTTTAAGGCTTAATCCCTTTATTAATTTGGGGTCCCCACAGTCAGTGGAATGAACCACCAACTTATCCAACATATGTTTTACACAGCGGATGCCCTTCCAGCTGCAACCCATCTCTGGGAAACGTCCATACAAACTTAATCACACACTTTCTGTCAGATTGTCATCTGCTAGTAAATCAGTCTTATTTTCTCTTTCTATTTTAGAATTTAATGTGTTTTTTGGTTCCCCTTTTTGTGTTGGCCTGTATCTAATATACAGTTGGCCTCATGCATTGGTGTTGCAGCATGTTCAGCTCCCAGACCAATACATGCTTACACACTCCAATTAGTCAGATATCCCCTTTTTCTGTTTTTTCCCCCTTTCGGCCTGGGCCTAGCTCCAGGCCGTTTTACACCCCTATGTTGACTGTCAAGTTAATCCGGCCAGCCTCACACCTTCAGCAACCTGTTTAGAAATATTGGTAATAAGGTTGTTAATTTGTCATTATATAATCTCTACATAAGTGATCTACTGCACATCCAAGCTGCACCAGGTCCCTGAAACTGCAGTCCTGTAAACAATTCAAAAGTCATTAATTCCATTGTTTTGTTCCATAACAAACTAATACCCCACAACATGATTTTTATCCAATTCAGTTTGGTCTGTGCACAGAATTTTGCCAATTATGTTCAAATTTGTATCCATTTTCTCTACCTTTCCCTGTAATTATTAGTCTTACACCATGCCTACTTCTTGCTTCAGGCCCATTACTTGCTGCAATTTAAAATATTCAATATTTCAGTGTTTATCATTATCCACTCTAATTCTTACTCAACATCTATTTGTTTCTAGATCGTCTTTCATTAAACACTTCATCACTGTCTGACTGTCCTCTTTGCTTGCTGGCCACTCCTCCAGCCATTCATTATAGCTGTAAATCATGACTAGCACATATCTTTTCATTCACCTGTTCTCCCATATCTCTATAATCAATTATAACCTCACCCTCATTCTTCTCTTGCAGTTTCTGATATCTCTAAACATAATTAAAGTCTATAATTCATATTAGTCTTATTACAATGTGTTTTAAATTCACCAGTTTAGTTATTTGAAATGGCTTATTTATTTGGCGATCTGACTGAACTTATCTCAGACAGCACTCATCCTAATATTGAGGCGTGTCATCTAATCCCCTATAATTTTTACTTACTTCCTTTAAATCTAGTTCCATATAAATGTCATAACAACTGCTTCCCAATCATTTAGGTGTCTACTCTTTTTCTGCAAGTAAAATTTCATCAACATGCTAAATCAACACCACTCTCTCTGATAATTAAAAAATCAATCACTTTACATTTTTTCATCAGTATGACCATATTTCTGCATACACTATTAACCTCAGCTTTAAAATCTATTCTCCTTAATTGCTTCTAAATCATAAACTAAACACAATCTTCTTTTGTTTGTTGCTTACTTGTAAAATTGTATTCAAATTAAATTAGTCACATCTATGTTTATAACTCAGTTAAAATTTACCTTAAATAAAATTTCTAAAACAGACTGCATATCACCTTGTCTAGGTGTTTCTCTTAATTGCTCAACGACATGCTACCTCTTCACTACGCTGGCTAATTTTATAATCCTCCATTTAAGTATTTCACTAATAATCAATCAGTTTTTGAATTTGACACTACTTTTGAAAATTAATTTTCTCAACTGTTTATTACTTAGTTTTTTCTAATCATTTTTATGATTTTCTTTTGGTTACTAATTAGTTCTACGTCATTTCGGTTCAACTAGTTGCCCATACACTTTTTATATACTTTTATAAGCTAATTAAAAAATCACAAAATTTTCTTATTCGTTTCTTTCAGCTGTATTTTGACTTCATCATTAAACTTCTTCACATGGATACATGGTTACACCGTTTTCTAATCTCCCTTATTTAAAACAGCTCAATTAAGTCATCGGCTTCATTGTAGAGTACCCCTAGTATCTGAGCCTGCACTGCGCAATGAAAGAAAGAAGCAAAACAGGATGGACAGATGCCTAAAATGTTAGAAACGCACCACACCTTAACTAAGTGAAGAAAAAGAACAAAGCTTGTGACTCTGGTGGGACTCGAACCCACAACCTTTGAACAGCTTAGCTCACAACCTAGAAGTCCAATGCTCTATCCATTGCGCCACAGAGCCTGAGTGCTCTGCTGTCTCTAGCACTGTTGCACAGAAAACACTTTTTAGTACTCTCTGGCCCATGAAAGAACGACCAACTGCAGACAAGGCACTGCTGGGATTCAAACACAGGATCTCCTGTTTACTAGACAGGCGCTTTGACCAACTAAGCCACAACGCCAAACGACCTTGACAGGGGCTAATTGTTTAATTCGAAAAAAGAAAAAAAAACTAATAACGGTAGCGCTGCTTGAGTGAATGTCTGGACTTGAAATATTAAAGTCCAATTGGTTAGGCATTACCACACTATGCTATATAAAGCCATCGTCCAAAGCCCTCTTGAACGTGCAGCGTTCTTAAGGATTTGAGTTTTGTTAAGACACCGACTGCTAAACATCCCGCTGCATAAACACTCGTTACTCTTAACAAAAAGCAAGGCACCTGTACATTAGGCACTGCTGGGATTTGAACCCAGGATCTCCTGTTTACTAGACAGGCGCTTTGACCAACTAAGCCACAGCGCCAACGCTGAATAGAAGGCAAGACGTTTTTGCACACAGACACAAAAAAAAAAAAAAGACAGCAAGTCTTATAATGGCAACAAAGAGGTTGTTTAACTCTATTTGTCGCACTATTCATTACGCCTCAAAGCTATACAATTTTATAATTCATTCCGGTGAGCTCTATAAAACAAGCACACGCACCACCTGGACTAAGGCGCTGCTGGGATTTGAGCCCAGGATCTCCTGTT